AATCTGAATTTCAAGAGCCAAGATGCTCATATAACGTCATTCCTATGCGGATTCTCAACACATAGCAATTTCTCAAGCCGTCTCATAACTCACACAGCGCAATGCATCACTACGCAAAATATCTGACAACGAAACATCAACCTAACTACTCCTACATGAGGACCGCGTTACTAAAATGCACACATCTGGCCTGATATAGAGCCATTATTCACATTAAATCTATCCACCGACTTCAAGCTGATTCTGATCACACTGAACTAGTCTGATAACCTTTCAAAGGTCCATAATAACTCATATTTTTCTCATAACACATAAGGAATAACCAGCACAATCGGAGTAATCCTCCTCAATTCACAACCCAATATTCCAAGTGCCCTCAAGGCATGAATCTTCAATTTAATGACACCATCGCAAACTTCATACTTGGTTTATATCTAATCAATCAAGTGATCACATGCCACACTTATATAATCTTCCCATGGGACACACTCCCATGACCTACCACAACAATATTTGGAGCGTACCTCCAAACCACCGGTGGCACTAACGCGGACGAGCGATCAAGAATCATTAACCAGGACGCAAAACCCTTTTTACAAAACACCGATCTTAGGTAACGCTGAAGACAATACCAACTTACCGTAAACATCGAAACTTATCTCCTACTCATCCGAGCTCATGACATCTTGTCAAAAAATTTCCTTCACTCGTGCCATTCTCGGCCCAATTTCCAGAACCAGAATTGATTCACCAGCATGCATCAAATCGGAACTAACATAGTACATAACCGCACAATCCGCTAACCAATAGCAAGCTCCCCAACTTAGCTAGAAGCCATATATCACAACACACTATACTCATAACGCATATACTCCATTGCTGCCCCAATACCATAGTAAGGTTAAACTCAAATCCTCTATAAGCTTGTGTAAACACATTTCATCTAGTACTTCAACTCTTTGGCAATCTTGCAATAGTTAAAGTCACTCTCTTAAGTGAACCAAAAATTTCGAACTTCAACACTTACAATTCATTTGCACATGAGATCTTCTGTCGTTCACATGAGGATTACACTGCCTCAACACACTTCGCGGGAGATAACCCACCTGCTTCGCCTCAATATAACATTTTCGTATACCTTCCACAGCCATAAGCATTACGCAGTCAGTTGATCTTCCTGAGTCTGTACTCATACCGCAATATGAAATTTACTTCACTCCCAACTAGGAGTCATGAAAAGATTCTTCAAACGCCCATAACTCGGACTATAACTTGAATCAAGATAGACTTCAAGCATCTACTAATTCTTCCATCATTCAACAGACCCCCTTCTCGTCGCTTCCAATTCATATGGATACGCCTCGTAGCACTAACATACTCCTCACATAGCCACAGCTGTCATTTCTACTAACGGGGACACTACCGAACATATAAGTTTAAAATACTTACTCACACAATCAGCACCTCGGTGCTCCAGCCATAGGCAAAGATCCAACCTCAAGTCCTTCAGACTGACCCACCATAAACTGACAGAGATTACACCTCGCCCCTCGGCCGGGGAATCACAAGCCATCGAGGCACATCTGATACTGAGCGCCCATGCGCGCATACGAACGCGTGGAAGGAATTTCAAAAGTTTCTTTTCAAGATGAATCAAGGACGCACGATAAGAATTCAAGAATGTGAAATTTTCCTAAAGGTTCTGCAACCTCTCGAGGATAAATACAGATGTCTCCGTACCAATCCGTGAGACTCTACTAAACCGGCTCATGACTTGCGAGACCAAGTAACCTAGGCTTTGATACCAACTTGTCACGACCCCAACCCCAGTCATGATGGCGCCCAACACATTGCTAGGCAAGCCCGACCATTCAACAACATTATCCCAAATTTCTTATTCAGATTATAGATAAATATCACAGAGAATTTACTAAGTCATTACATTCAAGTGTATAATAAATAATAAAATCTGCGAAAGTTCAATTAAAATACCACACTATAGCCCAATAAAATCTGGTGTCACAAATATGAGCCTCTAATACAGAATATCCACTTATTACAAGTCTGTCTAGGAAAAATGTGAAATAAAAGATAGAGATAGAGGGGAGAGATCAAGGCTGCGAATGTCATGCAGCTACCTCAATACTCCCGGATACTGCTGCTCAGCTAAACAAATCCTCACTCAGCCTGTGGTGTACCTGGATCTTCACGCAAGGTGCAGGGAGTAATGTGAGTACTCCGACCCAGTGAGTAATAAACATAAATAAAGGCTGGGAATAAGAAATCGTGGAAAAATACAAAGTAAACTATGACTGGCAGTTTATAACAACAATTAGTAAAGCAACAAGTCAATTAAATCAGAGTACCAATTACTGAGACAGGAATAACAGATAAAAACAAATACATGAGTGCAATACAATGCATATGATGGTACACTCTATGCATGAGTGCAATGCAATGCATATGATGGTACTCTCTAGTACCCACTGCGGCGTGCAGCCCGAGCCATCCATTTTATTTATCGTCGACG